AAGAAATGTTAATTGTTTTTAAGAAATGTTTATTTATTCCTACTTAAAAAGAAGAAATAGTGTACCAGAATGCTATGCTGATATTGTGTCGCTTAAGCTCAAATGCCCACCTAAATAGATAGATGTCGCTTCAGATAATCTGGATGAGCCAGTGTAGTTAATTCCGAAGTAAATTAAGGCGCGAAATGCCTGTTACTGGTGATTGAATTGTGGCGCTAACCCTCCCCAATATCCCCATTAAAATTTAGATTTTCAATTCCGCCTTGAAATTCACCGTTAAATGCTAATTAAGTCAATCGCCCAGAGCTGAGTGGCGTGATTTATTAAGGATTCCAGTTCATTTTATTGTCATTCGCCTGTAAACTTAATCAACCCTACTTTTATTTTGAAGTTAATTCAACCACAGCTGACGTTCCTTAAGCCTTTAATTCTTAAGGTAATTAATACACGTCATGCTCATTACCAGCACGAAAGCATGCCAATATTAAGCATTATGTACTATAGTAGCATGTGTGAACATAAGCATGCTCATTCCGGATTGTTCGAGCACGCTTGTTTCAAACATGCTTATAAGTATGTCATTTTATGATCATGTGTAACTGTACCTCTTATCAATACTTAAAAGTGTCCAGTTATGTATTAGATTTGAAGAGAGGACAATTTTCGACAGAAAATTCGATTTAAAGCCACTCCAGGGCGCAGAGTCCCAGAGCATGATTTAATACCGGCCGAAATAGGATCTAAAACGGAGCGCCGTTAAAAATTCAAAGCTGAAATTCTGACAAACAATGCTATTGCACAGTCGTGCTGCATAAAAGTGCACTTTGTTACGCGACTTTCGTTCGACAATGCCAAAAATGCTTCTTCAAAACAAATCGACATTCCCGTTTTGACATCCCTGCCCTCGGAATCGGATGTGACCGAGCAGCATCGGTCGACTCATACGTTATTCAACAACTATTTACTCCGACTTGAGAATGGATCTTCCAAGTTTATACAAGTCAATCGGGTAATGCGGTCTAGTTGTTTCTGAAGCAATTGATGGCACGTGTCATTAGCACAGTAATTAATTCGTTGTTCATGTAAATTTATAGCTCGTGGGGTGCATGAAAAGATACTGCTTTGGGTGATAGCTCAATGAAATCACGAAGTGCAGACAACACTCCAAGTAAATTAAAGGTAATTTATGACTATATATATAATGATATTGTTCGAAATAAAAGCATTTATGCGTTTCTGAAAATAAATAACAGATTTATTGCTCAAAACCTAACTTTACAGTTTTCAAAACAAAATTCAATTTTCTATTAAATAAAATGTTAGCTCACCTGAAAATAAATAACAGAATTAACATTCAAAGCTCTTATTCCGTCTCATTAACCGATTTAAAACAATATTAACATTTTATCGGTAATTTATAAAATACATCTCCATGACACATGACATGCTCGTGTGACATGACATTTTACTCTTAAAGAAAAAATAAACCAAAGACAACCTCAAAATAGGTTTTCTTTACATCTCCCCCCCTAGGAGAGAACAATTATTTTAAGTAATTGTTCATTCATTATGCATTGGGTATAGTTTTGTAATGTGATAGAAATTTGATTCCGATTTCTGGTGGCCGGTATCTACTTCATAGATTGTATTTGATATCTTCTTTAAAATTTTGTATGGACCAATTCTCAATTCATCCATCTTCTTCCTATTCAATCGATTTCCGTTCTCTACGTAGACTCTATCTCCCTCTTCCAATTTATAGTCTTCTCTACGCTGGTCGAATATCTTCTTATTATAATTGTGAGATTTTATTGTGTTTTCCAGAGCTATCTTCCTATCTCTTTCCAGGTCTTCTTTAGTACATTTCGATTTCAATTCCATAGGCAAAATGTTCACATTATCCCCTTCCAAAAGGTATTTTGGAGCAAATCTTGTGACAGTATGTTCTGTCTCATTGTATTTATCCACACATTTTTGTGCGATAGTACTCCATGCTATTTTCTCACCTTCATTTATTTTACATCTTATTTTATTGACTAAAGTTTGATTAAGTCGTTCATTGAGTCCATTTGAAAATGGTGTGTCCACAGCCGTAAAAATCAGTTTTATATTTTCCTTCCTAAGAAATTCCTTAAATTCTTTGGAATTTATACCAGGATATTGATCCGTTAATACCATATGTATGTTGTAACTTTGTGTTACCTTCTTCATTAGCTTAATAAAATCACCGGAGCTTTGACTCTTTGATGTAGAAATATAAGCATATCTTGTATAGTGATCTACTAGAAGATGTAGATATTTTTTTGTTGACCGTGATCCTCCAAAGCCTCCAATAGTATCAATAGATACAATTTCAAATGGTCGTGTTGCGGGACCTAAATGAGACATTAAACCGTATTTTGGTTTTCTCCTTGATTTATTCTTAATACATATCTCACATTCATCACAAATTCGTTTTATATTTGTGATGATATTCTTTGCTGTGTAAAATTTAGTTATTTTATTTATCATCTGAGTTCTGCCAATGTGACAATAAGAGTCATGAACATCCCTTATTAAATTTTTACTTAGTTCCTCCGACAGTATAATCTTTTTCCATTTTCTAGTCTTTTTGTAGTAAATTCCTTTTTCTTTAATAACTTCTCCTTTTTGTAATTCTTGATTTCTGTGTTGGTCATCTTTTATATCTTGTAAATTTATTAAATTCACTATTTTTAAACAATCATCAGTGTTCTCAAAAGGTTCTAGAACTGGGTGTCTGCTCAAGCAGTCTGCCTCCTGATTCGATTTCCCTGGATTATATTTTATTTTGAAATCATATTGGGATAAATAGTACATCAAATCCCCTAGTTCTTCATCAGTCCTTGCTTTGATATTCATATTTTCTAGTGGTTTATGATCTGAGTATACTATAAATTCTTTTCCCATAAGCCAGTGCTGCCAGTATTTTAGGGCTTCTTTTATTGCCAGACACTCCAGGTATATTGCCTTCTTCCTTTTTTGGGACTCTGTTAATTTTTTTGAAAAATAAGCTACTGGCTTCATATCCCCGTTTTTATCCTTCTGTTTCAACACCGCTCCTACGCCCTCGATACTAGCATCCGTGTAAATATTTATCGGTAGTTCAGGGTCAAAGATATTTAGAACTGGTTTTGAACATAGCATTTCTTTTATTTTATCAAATGATTTCTGGCATTCTGCCGTCCATATGAATTTTACGTCTTTTCGTAGCAAATTGTGTAACGGGTCCAAGATGATTGCACTGCGTGGTATGAATTTATGATGAAAATTTACTTTCCCCAGGAACTGACGCACATTTTTCCTTGTTTTAGGAACTGGAAAGTCCTTAACAGCTGATAAATAATCTTTCAATGGTCTGACCGAATTGTTTTCTACTATGTGACCCAAATATTTTGCGTGTGTTTTTGCAAAAGTACATTTAGAAAATTTCAATCTAAAGCCTTCCTTCAGTATTGCCTCGAGTAGTCTTGATATATGCTGTATGTGATCTTCAAATGTTTTAGAAAAAATCAAAATGTCATCAATAAAATTTACCGCAAAACCAGAGAGTTCGTNTTTAACCCATTAACGCCCGCCGTACTATAAATTGTACACAACTTTAAGTTACGATAAATCTGATTTAGTGGGTATTTTAACTCTGGAAATAATTCCAATCGGTAAACAAAGGTCTATGCATTACATCCTGAGATGAAACAGAACATAATTATAAAATCTTAAGGGGGTATTTTGCGATTTCGTTTCAGTAATTTTTTCGTATCTCCTAGTGGATAGTTGACAATTTTTTATACAAGGTTGAAGTTACACAAAATACCGAATAAGTTGTTAGTGTATTAGCTAGCAACATATCCTAATATAAAATACATAAAAAAATTCATTTCATGGAAAGTTTTTTATGCTATAACTCCCAAAGTGATGCTGTACTAACTTTAGTACAATGGGCGCTTGACATGTTACGTAAAATAGTAAAATAATGGCATTATTATTAGAGTGTTTACTTATTTCTTCATAGTTCTTATATGTAATCAATGTTATCTTTTTCCAATAACATGGCTCTTTATTTATGGGGTTACAGACAACAAAAAGAAACATTTTGTTTTCCCAATTACGACTTGTAGACCTAAAGAGACTTAGTTACATAGTTTTTGGAACCATATGTGACAATAGAACCAAATGGTATCCTTTGATTACTTACAAAGATTTTCACAAAAAGCCTAGAGACAGATTCGACAAGGCAAACATAATTTTATTAGTATTGATTGAAAGATAATAATGTGGGTACTATTGGAACAAATTTTGATGGTTTAGAACCATTGGGAAAGGTCATTATATGGGGTCTCTTGATAAAAAAAGTAGAGTTAGGCACCACTGGGTGTCCAGCTCCAGTATAATAAAAAGATTAGTGGGTTAGATCAGATGGACAGTCTATGGAACTTTACCAAACTGAGGTAAAAGGAAAAAAGCGGTGGATGGGTCTTGTTCGCTTATATGGTGGACATGACAATTTCAAATGCATGCAGACTGCACTGCATAGTAAACTCATATAGTCGCTTAGATCAGCTAGCATTCCGCAAATATTATAGTAGCGCACATATTTGACCTATAAAAGATAAATAATTGTAGGTAATCTTGCTCTAGTTGATGAAGAAGAAATATGAAATAATGATTATAATCAAAATAAACCAGCAAACAAGCTGATTTGACAGCTTAAAATTACTGTGTGTTTCAATTGAGTCAAAACATCTTATGGCAAGTGCCTGAAAACACTGAGCCAGTATGGAGAAGGCTTTGCTCAACATGACTCATAAGCGCCCATTGTACTAAACTTTGTACACCCCTGAAAACCTAACTTCTGATTTTGTTTTTGGTTTTCTTTCTGTTTAGTATTATTTCTGAAGTATTTTTATAAAGAAAATAAACATTGGCTATGTGAAATTAAGCGTAGTTTTCATTTGGGCGTTAATGGGTTAATGACACATTTGAACCCGAGTCATAGATTCCAGAAACATTTAAAGTGTCATTTAATAGTAACTTTACTTTTATTAATGGTGGCACCTCTAGTTTTTTTGATTCTCCTCGTTCAGTTCTACTTCTAATTCCGAGTTATTTACAGTCTTCACAACTGATGTTTGGTTTTTATTCTTAAACCAACAATTTTCCTCAGAGTGATAACGTTTCCCTTTCTTTTCTTTCACACAAATTGAGCATGGTTTTTTCTCTTCAGTTTTTCTTTGTTTTGTATCAGAATATTGTGTAGTATTTTTTTTGTCGAATTTATTTCTCCCGACAAGATGTTCCAACTGTCCAATATTATTGTAAAGATCCTCCGTACTTACTAAAGTTCCTCTATCAATTTTGTCCGCCACATAACTGGGTAAACCAAATGCTATAAGATCTATAAGTGTTCCAGTATCAATAGTTTTCCTTACTTCCAGTATCAGTTTTTCTTTTTTCAAGGCATAATCAAGCAATGAACCTGCTTGATACTTAAACGCGAAAGCATATCTAATGGGTGACCATCCTTGNATAGTACCTATACAATTATCTCTGAGTGTACGCGGGCCACTGATAAAGGCCCGGCGGGCCACATGCGGCCCGCGGGCCGCAGGTTGAGTATAGCTGCCATAGACTATACTATTTTTACTGGCTCAAAAACTGAACTCCGACAAACGTTATTTCGACATTACGTTACTCCGACACTACTGAATATCGACATGACTTTACTTCGACACTACACTACTTAGACAAAGGCGAATATCCTTTGTTTGCAAAAGTTTCACAAAAATTTCTCTCCCATTGTTCCCATTCTGATTCCACTGTAAATTTCATAATCATGCAGCTATACCAATCTATGCTGGAATTTTCCATAAAATTCTTCAATATCTCAATCTTTTTCCTATCCTCTTTTATTTGAAACCGTTCACATTCTTTATTAAAATTCTTAATCCACTGGTAGGGATTTAAGTTTCTGCCAGTGAACTTTTCAATGGTAAAGTCTCTTGCAATTTTCCCTAAATTCTGAGTTTCAGATTTAGTTTGTTTACTCTCAAGCAATATTTCCAATAATTCCTCTAATGTTTTATTCGAACCGCTGGGCATAGGTTCAGTGTTATTCCTTTCCTCAGAAATTTCTTCTAAGTAAAAATCATTAACACTAGAGTACACGCGTGGCCTACTAGAGTAGACCAGGGTAACATTTTACGCTATAACTTTTTAAGAACTTGCGCCAGAGAGCTGGCATTCCAAGAAAGCCTCGTTGACTAAATTGTCAATAAGCCAGTAAAGCTTGGGTCGCTAGGCGTCTACGCACTTTTCTAAAATTGGCCGTCAAAACTGCGGGTCTACTCAAAAGCCCGAAATCACTCACGAAAAAAATTATGGAAGACTTGCAAAAAATGGATTTACCCTATGTACCAGGCAGTAGAAAGTCTTGAATACTATGACAGATAAAAAACAAATCATATTTTTCAGTATTTTTTTTTTTTGCTAACATGGATCTCAGAGTGCAATTTTGGTCCAAAAAATTTACAACTTTTTAATCTGTTTATAATGTTTTATCCCAAATAGTTATACAAAGAAACTTTGATTATAAAAGAACTATAATAAACACTTTTATCATTTACATAATAATTTTATTCATAAATTGTTTACAAACTGATTTAAAGTGATTTTAAATTAGCTTAGGCCAGAGTAGGCCGCGCGTGTATTGGTGTAAAAAAAGGGGCGCGTGTACTGCAGTGTTAAACTGTAAATTCTGTTCCTCATCCAAATATACATCTGAGATATCTTTCGTCAAGGTTATCCAAATTCTTCTTATTTGATGTCTTTTGATCAATGTTTTTTTTACCTTGACATANGGTCATACAATTTGAAAAAATCACAAAATTAACGATAACTTCTAAACTATGAAAATTCGTAAAACATACATGGGGGTGAAATCGATAGGTCTAGTCCTCACCTATCACCTGCCTTCGGCTTGACACCTTACAAGAAACACCCTGTATAACTGTTTTCTGGTTTTAATACTCCAGTTTGTAAACCAACATTTTCTTCATTTTTGTCACCTAGTACATCAGGAATCTTGACATTTTGTGAATTTAAACAAACATTATGCTGGTAGTCTTTGTTATTTNCAAGAATTGCGCGCGGTGGAGTGCAATCTGCCGTAGGCAGCCGCAATTCCGCGCGCATCTCTCAAGATTCGGCCACAATAACCGCGAGGTTGGTATGGCCATGGGTGGTGGTGGGATTTGATCAACTGCCCGACTAAACTATCGGCTGACGAAAAATCGATGGTCTGCGCCTAGGCTTATTGTGTGATGGTAAATTATATATAATTACAACTAGAGTTGTCAATAGATTGACTACTTACTTTTTTTTCTCTCTTTCCAGGTGGAGCGCGAATTCAACCGCTTGCTGGACGCTACTTCTTATCTGTCGCACCAAGTGGACTTTAACTATTACAACGACACACCCGTCTCTCTGGGCCAGGCTTTGGAGTGGGTCATTAAACTTCAGCAGAAAAATGTCAAGCATAAACAGGTGAAATTATTTTTGAGCAGTGTGATAAAAATTAGTACCTGTGTGATTGTTTTAAATATAAAATATATTCATTACATATTATTGGTATATCCATCAACCAGTACAAAGTTACTGTTTTTATTTTTCGGGAGGACTAAAAGGCTTTTCTTCCAGATTCAACATCTAAAAGCTGTGATTACTTTGCAAGAAAAACTCAAAACGAACGTAAATAAGTAAGTACTGGCATTTATTTTAACACATAAACCTTTAGATACACAATAATACACATTTAAGTATTTTAATTCAAGATAAGGAATGAATTAGGGATCGTATCGTTACATCTCTACAATAAATATATAAATATTTATCAGGAAATTGACTAAGAGAAAGATAATTTAAAAAATCACTGAAATTTCAATAGTCTGTCTCAAAGCGTATTAGGCTTTTTTGTCAGTACAATAGTAATCATGTTTTACATGCGTTACGAGACTACTGCTCTATTTTTTATACATATAGGTATTTATAATGAAGTTGTTGTAAAAATAAATACTATTATGTTGTCAACAGAATGTCTGACATCCAAGAGTTATTAAGGTCCATGAAAGCAGAGAAAGAGTCTTTGATCGCGGATAGACAGAAAGGTGCAACGGGAGACGCAAGCGTCTTGCAAGAGTTCAATTTGCGTCGCTTGAATAGAGAAATGAACCTACTGTGCAACGAGTATGACACTTTGGTCGCCCAGAATACTGGCATTGAAGAGAAATTGACGCAGCTTGAGACTAACCCACCTAGGTACGTTATTAGCATGATTTTGGTTTAATTAAAGCCTATCGAGACCGATGTCATTATTTAAGGTAATGGTTCGTATTGGCCGCTGCGATACAAGCTTTCTTGCTTAGTGCAGAGATCGCCAGAATAAAATTTTATACTTTTTTAATTTTTTTTTACTAAAAGTAAATTTTTTCAATTTACTTACTGAAACACTTCTAGTAAAGTTAAACGCAAAGTGAAGAATCGTTATAGAAAAAAAACAAATTCGTCAGCCATTTATTTATTTTAAGACGTGCCCCCCCAACCCCCTGGGTACGTCCATGAGCATTAACCTACAAATGTGTGACGAATCGACTTTATGGTAAATCAAATTTTTAGTGTGACATCATTATGTTACAGTTTATCTTGAAAGGTGAATTTTGACTTGTTTTGTTTGACTTTATTTGGGAATATTGTTAAAGTTCAATTTTGTTTTTGTAGCTCGGTGTACCTCTCAGTCAGAGACAGACAGATCTTGGATTGGCACTTTGCCAACTTGGAATTTGCAAACGCAACGCCACTGAACACGCTCTCGTTGAAACATTGGGACCAGGACGACGACTTCGAGTTCACTGGCAACCATTTGACAGGTAAGTTTTTCTAAAACTTTTGTTCCGTTCGCCCCATAAAGTTAGTTAATATATTTAGCGGAATAGAGCAACAAAGAAGTATGTGAGCGAGATATGTCACTAGCAGCAACACTGTGTGATAAAAAGAGATGCGTGATGCTGTCACCATCACATCAAACAGAAGCGTTTTTTGCAACAACTCGTTAGCACTTATTGGCACGCTGAAAATTTAATCTCTGAGATATTTTCAGACTTTACGTGAGTGAAATCGTGGATGTTTATGAGAAATAGTGCTACAGAAACGTGGTTACTGGTTCAGTGATTGATTTATTGTACAAAACAGTTAAACAGTGTAATAATCCTGACACACAAATGACATCCAGTATCATCCAAAATCGGTTTCGTTTGACAGCTCATGGTTGTTGTTCTATTCCAAAGGAAAATGATGGTTCGCCCAAATGTCCGTCAACACGTGCTGAAAAATGCTTTGCAAGGGTTTCCACATCGAACGGTCATGCGGTGCTCGCATGCAGATGCTTCTCGCGTCCTTCAACAGATCGTCAGTCCACCTACGTTACGTTTTGTTTATAGATCTATACCATCGTTATCGAATACGAACGTACTCAGTTTGCTTGTAACGTTTATCGCTTAAATTGCCGAACCATGTATACGTCTCTTGTTGTGATATGTTATTGTATCTTATCACAGTATGATGATGAAAGTACGTGAATATTACAGATGTGAGTACGATTAGCTAGTTATTATAGTCAATGCGGTGGGATGCTGGCGTCACCTATAATTACCTGTGACATTTCGACGCGAGCAAATGGCTCGTCCGTCATGAGCGTCATCAATCATCAACCAATCGCTGACGACACACTTGATCGATGACAAAACGGTTGGTATCGGCAGTATTCGGCAGGCTCCATTAGATCGGTTCCTGTCACGTCACTAGTCGCGCGTAGATATACGTATAGAAAGGCAATAATTCCAATTACATGTTAATTGCCGTTGCCATTTTGACAGGCGTTTCTAATGATCAGAAAACGATTTTTTAAAAATACAGTGTAGGAGCGGTATAAATTGCAAATAGTCGGTATAGTATAGTGTAGGAGAGGAATTATGCAAATAACCGGCTGTCTGCGCCTCTACCCTGGCACAAACTTAGCTTTTACTGGTTAGGTTTTTGTCAGTCAAGTAGAAGCGGTGCTTGGGGTCGGGTGAAAATAGTTCCGTAAAGTTCGATTTAAATGTTAAAAGTACTAATTTTCTTTAAACTTTCTTCGTAAATCCATGCCCCAATCACTACATATTAGCACAGATAACATAATACTAAAATATTAGCATCTGGTTATGTGAATATACAGGGTGACCCATTGTTGAGTGATCAAAAGGATTATTCTACTGCTCTAATACAACAACTATATCCTGCGATTTCGTACGCGTGAATGAAAATAGTTTGAATAGTTTTTCCCGTTAACATTTTTCATTGATTCTCTGGTCTATTGGTCGTAATGTGATAGCCTTTCTTGATAAATAAGGCTATCTAGCACAAAAATAATTATTCAAATCGGAGTCGGTAGTTACCGAGATTAGGGCGTTCACCCAAACAAACTCTTCAGCTTTATAATTTAGTATAGCTATTAAAAATCGAATTATGCACAGAAAATTGAAAACCAACTTGATTTTCAGGGCTAGTAGCTATCCCAACTAATATTATAAATGCGAAAGTAACTCTGTCTGTCTGTCTGTCTGTCTGTCTGTTACGCTTTCCCGCTTAAACCTCGCAACCGATTTTGATGAAATTTGGCATAGAGATAGTTTGAGTCCCGGGAAAGAACATAGGATAGTTTTTATCCCGGTTTTTGAAACAGGGACGCGCGCGATAAAGTTTTTCTGTGACAGACAAAATTCCACGCGGGCGAAGCCGCGGGCGGAAATCTAGTATTAAAATATTTAAAGAATCATGAAATTATTGGATAATAGTGTCAAGTAATTGCCAACGGTACTACAGTTCTGATTTCGGTGGGCCGACTGCGCGGGCGCTCGGTGGACATCAATTGCGATTTGCGAATTGAGGTTGTGGGCAGCCTCCGTTCACGCCCTAGGGCTCGCTCCGTTATGTATGTGGAATTTTCGAGTTAGTGGCCGGTTGTGGTGATCTTCGCAGCGGATGGCGGACTCCAGCCCCGAGCGGTGGTTCGTGTCAATAATTACTATCATTTCTTCCTACAAATTTCCAACTTCTACAGACGATAAATTACCCACCGACTTCTGTGAATCGTAATAATGAGCGTGGCAGAAATCGCGAGCCCTGCACTTAGCTACTTTACACACGTGTAGAACTAACATCGTGTACGATGCTGAGCGCATCTTTGAAGTTAATTATGAAGTGGGAGTGTCGTTAACCATCTCTGTGACAGCACCCATTTCAACCGTACGTTCTTCATTGTAAAATGATATGTGTGCATTGTGTTCGTTGTTGTGATGTTACTTTATGGTAAGTCTAGAAGTATAATTCACAAATTATCGTGCTTTATAAATTCATCCAACTGTATACGTACAAGCAAACGTTGGCAGATGCAATGTAACTTTCAATTTCTTAACACGGTTGAATTTATTGTTGCTTTATATCGTCGGTTACGCATAAAAAGTGAAGAGTTGAAACTGTTGCGCTGTTATTCAGTCAGGAGATATGGATCGCGACATCCCCAAGACGCCTCTTTTGTACGTTCGGGCAGTGCGTGCGTTGCCGGCCATATTTCTCGCTGTTCGTTCGCTCAGTGTTCGCGGCGTGGGTAGTTGAAAAATGACATCTTGATTGTTGTGCGTTATTCTACTCATGAGAATGTCGACTCGGAGTCGTCGCGTGCACCGCCATTGTTGCCTCGCGGCCCGCGGCCCTACAAATTGAACGATTGTTAACCGTTCCATGAAAATGCTGCTATCGTGACTTGTCACGGAATTATTGTATTTACCGAACAGACGTATTTTGTTAGAATACGGTACTTTACGTAAGAAGTGAAATGTCTTGCGTATTTTGACTGTTATACATTTTCTGCTGGGGTCCCAGGGTGCTTGAAACAATGGACTTTATCTGGAACGCCCCTATATTGTATTCGGGTCAATTCTATCGGGCTACACTAATAAAATCTACTGAACCTTTAGTTTACAAAGTGTAGGCGTATATCATGATGAGTATTAGATACTTACATAAGAAACTGGAAACGTGAGCGTTTTGTTCAGGAATACAGGCAGGAATATACTATCAGATATTACATTCTGTTAATAATTACAACAGCCATAATTTATCTCTTACGAGGCATTCATATATCATAAATAAAAAGTAACAAAGCCACGGTCATGATAAATTATAAGCTGTTTTGCTGTTTACTAACAACAAATGGCATCTGAAACAAGTCCCCGAGGTGGCGTCCGGGCCGACCGATCGTTCTCTAGGCGGGCGGCAACAAGTTTTTGATAACGCCATGCGTGGCGTGAAGCAATAATGAATGTGATACAACTACGGCCTTCCTCATTTATCACGCGGACTATGAATAAAATATCTCGCCGCGCTGCCTTTGGGATAGCCTGGTCGTGCCGGGAACTCGCGGTCCGCTGCGATCGCAATCTTAAACCCCAGTAATGGTTCTGCTCTCGGCAGGTATTCACCTCCGCTCTGGCTGTGGCCGATGCGACAGTACTGCTGGGTATTTTCTCGCAGCCTTTACAAAAATCCATTTAGAAAACTAGTGCAATAAATTTTATATCATCATAAACTTCAATCTCGGTGTCAATCTCCATTTAAAGTTTAAAGGTAGCCAATAAAAGTTTGTAGCGCTATAAAGACTTAGCTTTAATAGAGAAGATAGTGGCAATGGCATTGTTTTTTTCGGCATCTTGTGCATAAATTGTCTGTTTCAAATGAGTTGGATAACGAAAAGCTGTAAAAATACTGCTTAACTTAAAGATCTCGAGGGGTCAAAGAGCGGCGTGAATGCTTTTTAAGATATTTTGATCAAAATAATCTTTTGATCAAAGTTACGAGATGGTCGCCAAAATAAATCGGGGGTCAGATAACTCAAATATGACGTGATGTTTTTATGGAAAGGTTTTCGGGCGCGTTAAGATTTCCGCTCAGCTTGGCGGGGTGCCGGCGCGGCTGGATGAGTGTCCTGAGTCACAGGACATCAATCGCGACGGTGGCGTCGCTGCGGAGGTGCCGAGGGCGTGGATGAATAAGCAATGAGCCGACGAATGGCTCTATTAACCCGCCATTGTTCCCCGCGATCGTTCGACTTGCGCAAGAGACACGTATTGTTCGCGTCTCTTGGCTTTCACTACGAGCCGATGACGTCACAAACGCTTACGACCTAAATGCTTTCGGTGTTAGATGTAGTGCAATTTGCATTTATCGAACCTTAAAGAGCACGAATGCACACAAACACTCGCAGCAAAATTTTCTCATCGTGTGAATGTGTTCGGAATGTCGACTATTCTTGTTTATTCAATAAAACAATTTTATCCGCATTACTGGTGGAAATTTATTTATGCTCAAAGATATGTTGTATTGTAGGCATGTTTTTTTTAAAGTAATATGCAATCTGCTTACAGTGTTTGTTTTTAAATCCTGCCTGTGACCATCGGTAGCATTTTTAGTAGAGATGAAACGGATAGTTGTTTGGCCGGATACCGGATACCGGATATCCGGCCAGCTGCTAGGCCGGATAGCCGGATATCCGGCGGCCGGATAGTTGGCCCATTGTCTCGTTGCATGTCGTGACGAATTTAGGTGCTTCGAACGCGATCAGTGGGTCTATTAGTAGACTAGACTAGTCAAATTTTTCGAAAATAGATTCAGTCCGAATAGAATGTCAGATTTTGCCACTTTTCTAGGAGGCAGATCAATTCGGGCGATTTAGGTTGCCATCATGAGTGTGTGATTGAATAGCGAAAAGGACATCATCCACGATCCATACATTTTTGGTCCAAAATCAAAAGTGCCGGCTAACAAAAAAAAG